TATTGAGTAGTGGAGAGTTCAGAAACCAGTGGTTTCTCTAGGATCTTTTATGAGCTCCTGGATAAGTTATCAGAGCCATCAAAGTTCACAGAAACTCATTAATAGATAAATCCTCATCCATACCTGTAGGCTGTAAACTATTCAAACAAAATATCAGAATGCTTCTCTTTTTTTCTGATAAAATTAATATTGCCACTTCTTTGGCTGGGTTTAATGGCTTTAATGCCTATAAAAAATAAAGGTGAATTATTTAATTAAAATGTCTTGCAACAGGACTGGTTAAATCATTTCTATTAGTCAAACTTCTGTGTTCATTAATTCATTCTTTTAGAGGCCAGGATGTTTCTCTTATATGTTTCTTTTGCATGGGCACTGTGTCATCTAGATTACATTTTTAGTTTTGCAAGTCATAAAACCCTTTATGTCAATGAGCTTGCCACTAATAGGGTGTTTAAATCATTTTAAATTTTTTGTGTATTGACAGTTTATGCAAGACCCACATTTGAAATTATCTTGTAGGTTATGACTTATCAAGGTTATTTCTGGAGTTTTAGGGTCCTGGAAAGCCTTGTCAAGCATATCTCTAATGTTTTACCTCTCTAATCATTGGTGGTTCTTTAAAAATCCCTGGTAAGTTTGGATCACTTTGAAGGATATGCCAATGTTTTAAAATTATTTCTTTAATGTTCCTGGTGTTTGGTGTAAAGGTTGTGCAAAAGACAAGATTTAATTTAAGTTTTGGTTCTACCAGTCTGAGACATAACCTCAACATCTGGTTTGGGATTTATGAGGAAGATTGTGTGCGAGAATATTTTGTTTTTGGTATTTAATTTTCTTTTAGATTGTACCTATTTATTAGATAAGATTGAAATGGATGAATTAAGAACTAGACACAGTTTTGGTGATTTGCATTGTAAAATGTCTGAATGGTTATTAAGAAATAAACTAATTTTGTCTGAATGGTTTTGTCTACTATCTGTCTAGCTTAAGTGTTTATATTTTAATGGTTGAAGAGGGTTACAGATGAAGCACAAAATGATTCATTTCAGCACAAATAAGATGATGTAATTCATTAGTGTGAATGTACTGTGGGTGTTTGAAGTCAGTTCAGTTTATGTATTCTGTATTTGCATTTTTTGCATTGTTTCCAGAAACTACAGCAGACCTAATCATGCATCCTCACATTGCATATAAACCAAACAGCATCCCAACCAACATAAAGTGTATTACTGCTACCTAGTCCTCTAGAGTAGTGATTAAGACTGCACCAAGTGATGGAACATCATAAAGATGTCATGAAGACTAAAGTACTTTTTGATTTTTTTTAAATATGTTTCAACACTAAATTGTATCCAGAATTCATCCAAAAACATCCAAAGTGCTGTTATGCCACCACTGTTAACACTTTGCATCGAAACCTACTTCTTGCATACCCTAGCTACAGAAGGCTGGAGTGTGCAAGGTCCTCTGTGTCCACCTCACTATATTAATTCCGTTACGGTTTCCCTCTCTCAACATTTTTCTCACTACACTGCCTCAAACTAATTTGGGTGTACTTTAGTTCCATTATTAATACAGTTATTCTGACATCCTTTGCAGTTCAGTTATTTTTAACTTTGGTATTGCAAAATGAAATTCCTACATGACATGTTTCAATATCTTTAGAGCCATTGGTTTTTGTCCAGATATTCTTGGTATAGGTTATCTATATAGTCCATGGAGAAATCTTTGCTACTGTTCCCATGTCAGGTAGCACATCTGTTACCTGTTCCTATGTGTTAATATTACTGGTACAACTTATAACAATAGAAACAAATTAGCAATGAGGAAGTGATAGGATCAACTCCACCTCCAGACCTACGGTAGCCTAGATAGGATGCATCTACACCAATGACAGCTGGTGCAAAAACACAAAGACTGTAGACAGCCATTGTTCCCCGGATTTGGAATATTTGACTGTGAAGTGCAGACCCGTCTACATACCTCGCGAGTTTACTGTTGTCATGGTAATGGCCGTGTATGTACCACCCGATGCTAATGCTAACTCGGCCATGGAGGAGCTGCACAAGACAATAAGCAACCAGCAGAACTCCCATCCAAACGCAGTGCACATTATAGCTGGGGACTTCAACCATGCTGATTTAAGGTCAGTATTCCCCAGATTTGAATAGCATATTACATGTGCAACGAGGGGGAAAAACACA